GTGGGTCTTCTCTTCCGGTCGCGACTGCTCTGGCCTCCTGCTTGCTGCTCACCAGGACCAGCCCAGCCACCGTCCGCCGTTCGCCTCGCGCCGCCGTCGCCCGACCGAGCCGCACCGCCGCTCGTCGCCCGCGACCGCCGCTCACTGGCCCTGCTCGCCTGTCGCCGGTCCTGCCCGCGTTGCACACGAGCAGCAGCTTGCCGCTGCATCCGCCACGGTCCGGCGTCATCCAGCCGTCCGCCGGCTTGTCCTCCGTCGCCCGGCCACCCGAGACGCCGCCGTGCCGCCTTCGGCCAACGCGCGACCTCCTCTTCCCCTGTTTCTCTCTTCCCCGGTGCTTTCCCCTGTTCGGGCTCCAGGCTTCGCCGCCGCCGCGTGCCGCCGCTCCGCCTCTGCCCCCAGTCTCTCCCCTCAGCCACCTCCGCCGACCTGCCACTCCCCCTCGGCCGCCACCACCTCCCCTTCCCTTGTTTTTCATCCTCCCCGACGCCTCCCCTGTTTTGGGCTCTCTCCGGCGCCGCCTCGGCCAGCCGCCGCGCGCCGCCGTTCTGGTCGCCGCCGCTGCTCCGTCCGCCACCACCCGGCCCCCGGCGACCTTGCCCAGCCACTTGCAGCTGCTGTGCTCGCCGGGACCAGTCCAACTGCTGTTGTCGTCGTCGTCGCCCGAGCCTCCCGAGCCGTGGCCGAGCTCGCCTAGCCGCTGCCCAGCCAGCCCGAGCGTGCCCAGGCCATGGCTGGACTGCCCCAGGCCGTGTGCCAAGCCGTGGCCGAGCCCCGGGCCCGTCGCGCCCTCGCCGTTATTGTTCATCCGGCCCGTTTTGAGCCCGTGCGGATTTTTCCCGAGCCAAATTGAAGTAAGTGACCTCCTATTCCTTATTTAGGACTATGAGTATTTTTAGACTTGTTTAGGATGTGCTTGGTACCGGGTTAGGAATTAAATTAGGCGTGGGCTAATTTGACTGATTGTGCTCAATTTGTGAATTATTGTGGCGGTAATTGTGCGGTTAATTTAGTGATTGACTGAGATAAATAGCATGACTGAATTGTCGTGGCGTTTGTGGGTGAATTGGATTAATTGAATGTGTTGACTTGAATGTCGGAATCGTGAGCTTGTGATTTGAAATTGGGATGAATGTGGGTGCATATTTGTGGCTATTATGGTGAGTCAATGATTGGCTTATCGTGGCGGTTGTGAGTGGAATTGACAGCTGAATGTGACCGACTTGAAGGTCGGGTTGGTGGAATATTGTGGTGAGCATGCCTTGAGTTTGATTAGTACGGCTTGTGAGAATTTTGAATTGTGTTGTGGTGCATGTGCATGAGACAAGCTCGGATTGATCGGAGGGCTACGGACTTGGGACGTGTTGACGGCAGTCCGTGTGAAGGCATGAATGGCCGGTGTGCCAAATGGATGCGGGCTTGAGACGTGTTGACGGTGGCCCGTTAAAGGTGTGTTGGACCGGGACGTGTTTACGTCGGTCATTAGAATTGAGCCCGGATTGATCGGAGGGCTACGGACTTGGGACGTGTTGACGGCGGTCCGTGTGAAAGCATGAATGGCCGGTGTGCCAGATGGGCCTGAGGCGCAGTGGCGCGGGTAGTGAGAATGGACCTGAGGGGCAGTGGCGCGGGTCATGAGAAAGATGTTCGGCCACGCATGCGATTTGAGTGTGATTGAAATGTCTGGTTGAGTGTGATTGAATTGGCTGGTTGAATGTGTGGTCGAATTAGTAAGATGAATTGCGTGCAAGTGTGGTTGGCGTTTGAGCAATTGCGATGTGCTATTTAGTTTCTATTACTGCATTACCATGTTATGACTAACGTGCAGTGTTAGCATGGGTTCGATGGTGAGGTAAATATAAGGATGCGATTTTATTTTATATGTTATGGGGTAGATTGCATGTACGACTTGTCTGGGTACGCATTGGCCTATGTGGGGTATAGGGGGTTGCTTATTGAGACTCGTTCTCACGGTTATTATATAACCATTTTCAGATCTGCGACAGTGATTGACTGGAGACGCTACCAGGGTATCTCGGGAGTGGAGAACGGGTCAAGTTGCCCCATATTTTTGTGTGCCCCTCTTTTGTATAGTGAAGTAGGATATCCAAACAACTACTCCGTTTTGATGTTGTGTATTTGGAATTATTGTTTTGTGCTATCCCTTCGTCATATTTTATTGTCCGGGTTGTTTTATTTTGCTTCCGCTTGCGTAGTTCGTTTGGGTCGGCGACGCGTCCTGGGACGTCGCGTTCAATGATCGACCATCGAGGGGTGATCGCGCGCTCGTAGGGTGCGGGGCGTGACATCTAGCGAGGCTCGGCCTCGCCCAACGCCTGCGAGGGCTCAGTCCCGTCGGCCTCGTCCTCGCCGGCCGCGACGAGGCTCGACCTCGCCACTAGTCGACGGGACCAAGCCTCGCCAGCCACGGCGAGGACGAACCTTGCCAGGGGCGGGCGAGGCTCCACCTCGCTGGCGTTGGGCGAGGTCGACCTTGCCCGCCCCGGCGAGGTTCGTCCCTCGCCGTGGCTAGCGAGGGCTCGGCCCCGCCGGCCTCGTCCTCGCCACGGTTCGCGAGGACGAGGCCGGCGAGGCTCGCCCTCGCAAGTAGCCGGCGAGTTCGAGCCTCGCTGGCCACGATGAGGACGAACCTCGCCCGCCCCGGCAAGGTTCGTCCCTCGCCGTGGCTGGCGAGGGCGAGCCCCCGCCGGCCTCGTCCTCGCCACGGCTGGCGGGGCTCGCCCTCGCCGTTGCGGCGAGTTCGAGCCTCGCCAGCCACGGCAAGGACGAACCTCGCCGGGCGGCGAGGCCGACCTCGCCCAACACCGGGCGAGGTCGAGCTCGCTGCCCCGCCTACGCTGGCCGGTCGGCTGGACCGGCGACCGGCCGAGGTTGAAGGTGAAGGGAAAAAAAAAAAAAGAAAAGGAAAGGAAAAAGAAAAGAAAAGAAAAAATAAAAAAATAAAAAAAATTCGAAAAAATAAATATTAAAATAATTATTAACGGTAATATTGGACGGAAAAGTTAACGGTGGTAGATTTGGGACAAAAGTAAAAGTTTGGGGTTTTTTATGAGACAAAAAAAAGTTTAGGATATAATTGGGACAAAGGCTAAAGTTTGGGGTTTTTTTGGGTATTAGGCCGTTTTAGTTTTAAAACTTTTGACGATTTTTTAATGTAGTCTATTTTGGCAAAAAATAAATAACGTGGTCATCCAATCAGCGCTGGCCGTCCTACATGGTACGACCAACGCTAACGTGGACGATTTTTTTGCAATTTTTTAAATTTTGGTATTTTTCATAATTTTTTTTGTTTCTTTTATTTTCTTTTCCACTGTTCATCTTCCTAAAAGGGCCAGTAGAGGCCAATAGGGCCTCGACGATGTCCTACGCAACATTAAAAAAAATTATAAAAAGATAAGAAAACCTAAAAAAAATTACAAATGTAGGACAATGACAGCCACGTCAGCGACTTCCAACCTATATTAGCCAGGAGTACTAAAATAGAAAATCTTAAAAAATCGTAACATAAAATTAGCCAAATTTTGACAAAAAAATTAGCCAAATTGACAATTTTAATACTGAAATAGCGCCATACAATAGGTTTATAATTTTTTAAATAAATTTTTCCTGTTTTGTATTAAGAAAATAGTAAAAAGTTCGAGTCTTTTCATGATATTTGGCCTTCAAACTATTTCTAATTTGTCTACTACTTTGCTAATTTCCTTTTATTAGGAGACAACCGGTTTTATTGTCTCAATTTAGATAAACATTCTAGTCGAAAGATGTATAGAGTTTTGTAATTGCGATGATATTTGAATGCATGCGTGGGATCATTAGAGATTTTTTGAGTAATTCCAAAGCACAAGATACTTGTTTCTGCAAATCAATAATCGCATGTCGAAGGCTATAAACTTTTTCCACGACCGGTGCTCAACAACAACGCCTATATAAAGGGTGGTTAGCCCACTAAAAGATTGCAGGAAATTTCGCAATGGCTCTTCCTGCTTTGTTCACAAGCTTCGTCCCCTCCTCGATCAGCCATAGCCAACCCTCTCTCTCATTCTTCAGACACCCTCGCTGCTCCTCCTTCTCCTCCGCCGGCGCTAAATCTGCGACATGTGCCTTGACGATTGAAAATCAAGAGACTGTGAGACGTTCGGGGAATTGGAAACCTAATGTGTGGGACTATGGGTTTCTACAGTCACTCACCGTAGATTACACGGTAATGATTGCTTTTTGGTTCAGCATAATACCCAGCCTGGCTGGGTTCTATGGAAAACGTGTCACATTTGATCCTGAATTTGTATTCCTTTTTCCAATTTTGTCCTTAAACTAGTGGTAATTTCCCATCAAATTTCATGGTCTATGGTTCTGGCAAATTGAAGCTCATGCGCGTGCCAATGCTAGCTGAAAGTATGATGTGGAAAACTCGGTACAAGTTTCGAGTTCAAGGACCATGTTGAGAACAAAAACAACATAAGTTGTGGATCGTAGATAGAGTCCACAACACCCAAAAGGAAATAGAAACAAAAGAAAACTGTATTTTGAATTAGATATAAGGATGTATGCTTCTCGTGTACTTTTGCATATGCTTTATATACGACATTGGAGCTATGTAATAAGAATTTACACATTCATCCACTGCCACTCTATTATATATACGACCAACCCCAACAATATTCTGTAAGAGATATCAATAAACCTGGTCAAAATGGCATATTCTCAGCATATAGGCACGAGCACAACAATTCCTTCTCAAATGTGTTTGCAAATAAAATGAGAATAAATCTGTTTCAATACGAGAGGCAATATTCAACTCTACGTGTGCATCAACTTTGATTAAGATCTCAATTTTCTGAATTTTTCACATGCCTAGGAGGATAAATATACCGAGCAAGTCCAAAGGTTGATGGAAGAAGTCAGGGGTCTATTCGATTGGGAGACGAACCAGGTGGCCAAGCTCGAGTTCATTGACGCAGTTCAATGACTAGGACTAGGATACCATTTCCAGACGGAGATAAAAAACGCTCTTAGTTCCATCTATAACAACGCTGGAGATGCTCAGCTTTCGCACAATCCCTATGCCGCTTCCCTTCGATTCCGGCTACTCAGACAACATGGATACTATAGAGGAAAACTCCTATTAATTTTGAAGTTGACAAAACCTTCCACATAATTATAAGTCCGATACTTATTCTGAACTAATTTATTCCAGGTATTTATGTTCTGGAAACTCAGAAGGAAATTATTCAGACTTTACAAACTGTCAAGTATGTTTTTGAAGACCCATATAATCTAGGTTCTGAGATTCAGACGCAGAAGTTATTCAGATGCAGATGCAGAAGCAGAAGTTATTCAGATGAAGATGCAGAAGCAGAAGTTATTCAGATGCAGATGCAGAATTTCTTCAGACGCAGAATCCAGAACAAAACACAACAGCTAGTGATCTGGCATGGATTTCACAGAAGGAATGTTCTGATTGTCTCAATCTCAATCAAATTGATTGACAATCAAACATCACGACAAGAATGCATTACAACGGACAAAGCTCTACTTATGGAAACCAAGATTCTGATTGTATGGGCGACCAGAATCAGCGGGATTCAGAATCTGTCATCCAACAGTTACTCAATCCTTATTATACAAATTTGTCCAAAGTGAAGATTGGAAGATGATCCTCTGAAAGCTGTCCAACGGCTAGTAGAGGAGTATTTAAGGAGATCAACGAGCAGCAGAAGGTACACAGAATCAAGAATCAACAAGTCCAAAGTCTGAGCATACTCCAATCATTTCTCTTTTCGTTCTGAGCAAAACATTAAGATCTTGAGGGACACTTTGTAAGAGTGATTGTGTGAGATAGAGAGTCCTATCATACACAAGAGTGTTGTGACATTCCGAATTTCGGCCCATTTTTGGGATTTATAAAACGTGTAATTCGTCAGTGTGCTTATAGTAAAATCTCGCCCGGGAACTGATCACTCTCGGTTATTGTTTTTAAAATTGAGATTTCGCTAGAATCGCACTCGATCGAATTTGGCCGTTATTTAGAGCCCGAACTTTGGTATCGAATTTATCGGAGTTTTGTGACGAATTTAATTGGACGGTGTCGATATTATTGTGGCCAGCCTCGATATTGCCCGAGATATGCGAAAAGTGAAATTTTGACCGGGTGCGAATTTGGACTAGTAGACCTCTTTCGTAGTGTGTTTAGTTATTATCTTTTGGCCTTTTTCCTAATTTATAATTAGGGTTTTTCGTGGGCCGTTGGATCGTTTTCGGATTTGAACGATGGTCGTCGGATCGCACTCAAGTGCGTTTGACTTTCTCTCTCTTCTCTTCTCTGTCTCCTCCCTCACGTCGCCGCTGACTTCCTCCTCTTTCCCCGCTGCCCTCCTCCACGTTGTTGACTCCTCATCTCACGCTGCTCCACCCATGCTTCGCTTTGCTTCCATTTACCTTACGCCTTTGCTGCTTGCTGCCGACTTCTTCCATCAACTCCACCAGCCATCATCACTCCCTATACTTCAGTGACTCCCCCACGTTGCTGACCTCCCCATGCAGCGCTGCCATGATGGACTTCCTCGCTCGCTGCCGTGTTGCTTCGCTCCGCCCATGCCATTTCCGGCTTGCTTCGCTTCTTACCGCCGCATCCACCGACTCCTCAAGCTGCCCATGCTGCCCCACGTTGTTTCGTCACTACTATGCTGCTGCTAACTTCCCCCTACATTGTTTCTTTGCTGACCACCCCCACGCCTGCTGCTTCTACTTCATTTTCTGCTGCTGCTTCGCTGCTACTTGCTTCTTCACTCTGCTTCCTCTAGTTTCTGCTGCTTCTCGCCCTCCATTCCAGCCCGACCAGCACCACTGTTCAGCCCCCATCTCCACCCGACTCTGCCGTGAGCTGCCGCCTGTCCGCTGAGGCTGCTGCTGCTCCGGCGTCGTTGCTGCTGCTTTGCCGTGAACTGAGCTGCTCCTTTCACTCGGTTTTCTTGCTTAGGCTAAGTGTAAGTGGCTTCCTAACCTTTGACTAGGCTAAGGGGTGACTAATGGACATGGTAGGGATGGTTTAAGGGCTGTGGATAGTTGGTTTAGTGGCTGGTTGTGCTTGGTTTGCTTGGTGGTGCTTGTTGGTTAATTTCCGGTAAGGTTGCTGCTGCGTCGCTGGATTTTACTATGTTTACTGTGACTTGTGTGGGCCGAATTTGAGGAAGTATTCTTCATGAAAGTTGTTCATAACATCTTGAAGTTTGACATATATTAAATCTGGAATTTTTGGAGATCATTTAGTTCCATTCGTAAGTCCATTTTTGGACCGAATTCAGTCTGCCGGATTTACTGTTCATCCGACCATCTGGTCTCTCCGATTTTCTACAAATTTTTCCAGACCTCTTTTCAACAAACTTCCTTCACAAAAATTGTTAAGAACATTTGTTTCTATGACATATAAAAATTTTAAGGCTTTCCAAAATTATTTGGGTACTGGATGAGATGCATTTTGATGGTCAGGCGGCCTGACCGGACGGGTTGAATTTTGTCTGACTTCAAGTGACAAAAAGAGGTGCTTACAGTAGGAACTGGGTTTTGAGTTCTCACGGAAAATGTTTACCAAAATGTTTTATGCGACATATCCAAATTTCAGAATTTTTGGAGTTGATTTACTATTTATTTTAAAGGAAATTCGGTGACTATGTTAGTGCCCAGTTTGGCCCCGATTCTGTGCATACTCGGTTTTTCTCTCTCTCGGGAATTGATCGGTGTTACCATGACATTTTGGTGGATTTAGTTGACATTGGGCTAATTTACAAAGATAAGAATTGGTAATGATTGTTGAGGTGTGTGCATGGTCACGACACGTTCCGTCTAGGCGGGAGTTCTAGACGATGCCCGGCGGGAGTTCGGATGCCGACTAGGCGGGGGTTCTAGACATTGCCGATCGCGGTAGAGGCCGGATCGATGCTCCTTTGTGGAATGCCGTCTGGGCGGGGGTTCCGGATGTTGCCGTCGCCGAAGTAGCGGGACGATGCCTGGTTACGCCAGAAGACCGGCGGGAGTTCGGTAGCCCGAGGGGTCGTTAATAATCTGGACTTAATGAGTGCGATTTGCATTGGGGAATGCTTTGCCTGAGTTAATTGATGAGCACGTCTGGATTATTAACCATGTTATGCTTGATCATGCCATGAATTGCTTTGCGCGTGCTTGATGGGTAATTGGCCATGTTATGGCGATATTCTAACGTGCAGGGCTTGTGTATGCGCCAAGGCGAGGTAAGGACGCCTGTGATTGTTTATGGCACGTCGATTGTTTGAATCGCATGTTTAGAATTATTCGAAAGTACGCTTTGGCCTAAGCGAGGCTTAGGTAGTTGCTTATTGAGAAGTGTTCTCATGGTTGTATAACCAAACCATTTCAGACCCGCGACCGTGATTGATCCGGAGACGCTGCCAGGATACTACGGGGATTGAGGATAGGTCGAGTTACCCCATCTTTTGAGTACACCTTTTTGTAGAGGAGTTAAGCTTACCAACCACCAGATCCATGTTATTGTGCGTGGTTCGTAGATAGTGGCCTCGTAGAAGGCTTGCAAATGTATGTGTTATAATCGATGTTATGTTTATAAAAGTGTCTTGTTGATGTGTATTCTTTGTCTCTCTACTATCCCGTTGTTTATATGTTGTACAGAGAGTTCGAGGTTGCTTCCGCATGTATTACTCGTTAGTGTTTCGATTGGGTCGGCGACAAGTCCTGAGCTGTCGCGTACATTACGACCACAAAGGGATGATCGCGCGCTCGTAGGGTTCGGGGCGTGACAAGTGTTAACACTCAGAAGTTGTAATTCCTCTTGATTACATAGTGAAATCCAGCCGGTAGGCTGTAAGCGTGGGAGAGTGGACGTAGGCTTGCTATAAGCCGAACACCTATAAACTTGTGTACAGATTCTCTATCCCTTATCTCTTACTTTACATTCTGCACATCAAGAGTACCGTCTATATAATCTGTCTTGAATCTGAATTTTATTCAGACTCTTCTGTGATTTATTTTGTTTCCGCATAAATTATTAAAAATTGGTTAAGATCACCTATTCACCCCCCTCTAGGTTATCCTTGCTAGCTACATCAATTGGTATCAGAGCAGGTTGCTCATTTATTGAAGTGTCTTACTTCTGAGCTAACGATCTACATGGCTAGCTATGGTGCTCCAGGGCTCATTGAAGGACAGAGCAACAACAGACCACCATATTTCGATGGCAAAGAATATAATGTCTGGAAGAATAAGATGAAGGCATTCATAAAGTCAATCGATCACATGCAATGGGATGTCATCATCAGAGGAGTCAATCCAAAATCTTCTGATTCAAAAGAAAAGGCAGATGCAAGCAAAGCAGCAGATCCTCCATTATCTCAAACTGAGATATCCAAAAGAGAAACCTTAGATTCCAAAGCAATTTATTCTCTCTATTGTGCTTTATCACCTATTGAATATAAAAAAATTGCTGCTTGTGAATCAGCTAAGGAAATCTGGGATACTCTCCTTGTCACTTATGAAGGAACAGATCGAGCCAAGGAAACTCAAATCAATCTTTTGCTTGGTCAATATGAATCCTTCAAAATGAAGCCTGGAGAATCAATTGCTGATTTGTATGACTGGTTTACTGATATAGTAAACAGTCTTGCTTATCAAGGACAACCAGTTCCAGATGCAATGAAAGTCAACAAACTTCTGAGAGGACTGACAAATCAGTGAGATAACATCAAAACATCTCTCCGAGAGACACAAAGGATCAAGCCTCTATCAGTGAATGAGTTAATTGGAACTCTTCAATCATATGAGACTGAGAAACGAAATGAGGAGAATGAATCCAGAGGTAATAAGTCAATTGCTTTAAAGACTAACATTGATTCTGATGCAGATTCTGAAGATGAAGATGTTGACGATGAAGAACTAGCTCTCTTTATAAAGAAGTATAAGAAAATGAAGATCAAAGGAAGAAACCTCAAAGGTA